TATAATGGTCATATCCTCTTGTTGGACTGTGCCCTTTATCATTATGTAATGTCCTTCTTTATCTCTTGTTGCTTTCTTTGTTTTGAAGTCTATTTTGTCTGATACTAGTACTGCAACACCTACTTTTTTCTCCCTTATTGTTTGCATGAAATATCTTTTTCCATCCCTTGACTTTTAGTCTGTGCATATCTTTGTGTTTGAGGTGAGTCTCTTATATAGATGGGTCTTGTTTTTTAATCCATTCAGTGACTCTGTGTCTTTTGATTGGTGCATTCAGTTCATTTACATTTAGAGTGATTGTCGATAGGTATGTAGTTATTGCCATTTCAGGCTTTAGATTCGTGGTTACCAAAGGTTCCAGGTTACTTTCCTTACTATCTAAGAGTCTAACTTAACTCACTTAGTATGCTGATACAACACAATATAAAGGTTCTTTTCTATTTCTCCTCCTTTTTCTTCCTCCTTCATTCTTTATATATTAGGTATCAAATTCTGTACTTTTTGTCTATCCCTTGATTGACTTTGGGGGTAGTCAATTTAGTTTTGCATTTGCCTCGCAATCAGCTGCTCCACCCTCCCTACCATGGTTTTACTACCTCTGGTGACAGACAGCCATCCAACCCTAGGAACACTTCCATCTATAGCAGTCTCTCCAAAATAGAATGCAGAGATGGTTTGTGGGAGGTAAACTCTCTCAGCTTTTGCTTATCTGGAAATTGTTTAATACCTCCTTCAAATTTAAATGATAATTTTGCTGGATAAAGTAATCTTGGTTCCAGGCCCTTCTGCTTCATGGCATTAAATACATCATGCCACTTCCTTCTGGTCTGTAAGGTTCCTGCTGAGAAGTCTGATGTTAGCCTGATGGGCTTTCCTTTGTATGTGATCTTATTTCTGCCTCTGGCTGCTTTTAACAGTCTGTCCTTATCCTTGATCTTTCCCATTTTAATTACTATGTGTCTTGGTGTTGTCTTCCTTGGGTCCCTTCTTTTGGGGGATCTGTGGAGCTCCATGGCCTGAGAGACTATCTCCTTCCCCAAATTGGGGAATTTTTCAGTAACTACCTCCTCAAAGACACTTTCTATCCCTTTCTCTCTCTCTTCTTCTTCTGGTATCCCTATAATGTGGATATTGTTCCGTTTGGATTGGTCACACAGTTCTCTCAATATTCTTTCATTTTTAGAGATCTTTTTTTCTCTCTGTGCCTCAGCTTCTTTGTATTCCTCTTCTCTAGTTTCTATTTCATTTATTGTCAACTCCACTGTATCCAACCTGCTTTTAATACCCTCCATCGTGCTCTTCAATGATTGGATCTCCGACCTGAATTCATTCCTGAGTTCTTGGATGTCTTTCTGTACCTCCATTAGAATGTTGATGATTTTTATTTTGAACTCCCTTTCAGGAAGAGTCATGAGGTCCATATCATTTAAATCTTTCTTGGGAGTTGTATTAACAATTTTACTGTGGACAAGGTTCCTTTGGCGTTTCATGTTTATATATGGCGCCCTCTAGTGTCCAGAGCTCTATTCTGGAGCTGCTGAGCCCCTGAAGCAATGTTGGGGGTCACAGGGGAGCAGTACTGGTGCCTGGGGGTAGGAAAGAGCTGTTCCCCATCTCCTAGCTACTGTGCCTGTCTCCCCTGCCTGAGCCAGTGGGCCAGTTACACAGGTATAAGTTTTTGTCCCAGAGCAGCCAGATATGGATCCCTGCTTTCCACAAGCAGCCGGAATCCCTGTCTCCCCAGGAACTCTGCCTGTATTAACTTTCCAACCCAGTAGTCATGCGAGTCTCATGAGAGCACCATGAAATGTAGGTTTGTGCTCTCAGCGCAGATCTCCGGAGCTAGGTATTCAGCAGTCCCAGGCCTTCCACTCCCTCCCTGCTCTGTTTGTCTACCTCCCGCCGGTGAGCTGGGGTGAGGGAGGGTCTTGGGTCCTGCGGAGCCACAGCTCTGGTACATTACCTGGTTCGTTGAGGTCTGCTCTTTTCTCCAGGTGTGTGCAGTCTGATGCCGTCCTCTTTCCTTTTGCTCTCTCAGGATTAGTTGCGCCAATTAAATTTTCTAATTGTATCCAGTTTTAGGAGCAAGCCTCTGTCTCTCCTCTCACACCGCCATCTTTAATCCAATCTTCTTCCCTCATTTTAAAATGCAGAATGTGATGCCAAGTTCACAGGGTATTGGAGATCCATGACAGTGCACCCCAACATTTTAGCACAGCGCATTTTGTAAGGTGCTCAGTAGGTTGAAGGTATTACTGTAACAGTGAGTTGTACAGCAATTGCAGTTCTCCAAGATACTAGGCTCCACAACTCTTGTGTAATGACAAAAGCAGTGGAATGAAAATCAAAACCCTGGGACCCTAAGTTCTCGTCTAGTCTGGTGGTTAAGTCATTTTACCACCAGACTGGTGCTAATTACTTAATGCAGGTTAAGTCCCTGCATTCTTTGCTTACTTTGCTAAAATAAATTTTCGAACAATTTTTTTATCTTACAGATTGTGCTAAAGTCCAGCCAGTTTTTTTTAAATTAACCAAAATGAATATCTGCTTTTAAAATTTGAGGGCTTTCTGAAAGATAATATAAGAAGTTTTTATGTTTGATAAATTTTATTTTAATAAAATTACATAGGCATTGATTTACTTCTTATCACTGAACAGTGTTGACAAGTCAGTGAGAAGTTTATTGCTTAAGATCCTGAGGAATTCCCAAGCTTGTGATTACATTCAGTTAGAACACATGGCAAATCTGAATCTGTTTCCATCACTAATGGGGGTCAAGTGCCGAGTGTTGTGGCTCTCTGAGATCGTGGACCCTGACACCAGACAGCCTGCGCTCAAATCCTGGCTCCAGCCTATGGCCTGGGTGACCATGGGGAAGCTTCTTAACCTCTCTCTCTTTCATCTTCTTCATTTGTGAACTGGAAATAGTGTAGTATTTTGTTGATAGGGTTTTTGGAGGAAATGAGTGAGTTAGCAGATGTGAAATGCTTGGAGTCTGACCTGGAGTAAGCACTTGGTGGCTCTTGCTGTTACTGTGGCTCGGTCTCAGAAAGGCCTTCCAATTTACGCAGTGATTTTCTATGGTATTTCAGTCACTTGCTTTCTCTGACGTTTATGTTCCTCACTTGTAAATAAGGATAACCATATCTTTCTCCTAGAACTGTTTTAAGAATTAACTGAGATTTAAGGTGCCTGGTGCACTGTTGGGAACAGAGTAACCACTAAAGAAAGCCCAAGAAATGGAAGTTTCTTTCTTTCTTCCTCCCTAGCAACATTGGTACTCTCCTGAAAACAATTCAAAGTTTGTAGTTTCTGTTTATTCATGACTGATCCCGTTCTTCAAAGCCTTCGTCAAATAAGCTAAGTCATCCTTTTGCTCTGACTATTTGCCCTGACGCTTCCATACAGATTCACCAGGTAGCTGAGTTTGGACTCATGGTTGTAGGGCACCAGCCAGTGGGTCTTCCTGGGCTCTAGGAACTAGTGAGACTTAGAAGGCTTTCTTAGGCCACTCTGGTGCTGGTCTGTACAGGTGGATGTAGTTCTGGGACCCAGCTCGCCAGCAGTACAGCAGTAGGCCTTCCTCTTTGGTAGAGTCTTTGTTGCTGACTATCCAGCTCAGGTGCAAGGAGAAGAGATCTACATTTGAGTAAGGGGAGTAAGGGTAGGAGCTGCCCGAAAATACAAGCTTCGTGTCCCAAAGGAGCCAGTTTCTCTTGTAATAATTTCATACATGTAGCTTATAGGGTCGAGCCCAGGGACACACCCATTTGAAGAGTGACCATGCTCAAGGAAGCCCAAAGCTGGGACATCTCCATGAGATACTTGTATTTAACTGAAGGTCGACTTCTCATGCAGAGCGAGAAAGGGTTTTGTTAATACTTTTCCCAGACTGACTCCTTTAGAAATAACTGCTGACAGAACCAGCTTACTCACTGATTATTCTAGGCAACACGATCACATCGTAATTATAGTATCTCCTGGTACAGTGAGCCCAAAACTTGGTCTGTCACACTCTGAACGGTCTTCAATAATGTGATTTGCCAAGCATATTGTGCTCTTTACTATCTGAGATGTTACAGAGTAATCAGGCAATGAGATGCCCATGTATGTGGCGCACAAAACTATAACTAAAGCATTACTGTGTATCTGACACCAGAGTACTTTAATTGGCAATTAAATGCCTAAGATGAAATAGCAATGTGTGATCTAACCATCAACCCGGATATGTAAAGGAAATACATGAAATGGTTGACATACCTTTCTAAGCAAGAGCAGATTAAAGCAAATGATTATGGCACAAATCTGCACATGGCTGGTGAGGGAATTGTCATGAAAGGATGGAATTAATTGTAAAAGGCTTTCTTGAGGAAGTGTGAGGTCCTTGATCTGTTAGATAACTATAAACCACTGTAGGTGTTAAGGTATTAAAAAGTCATGTTGGCATGGCCGGAATGATAGGAAATGGCTGCAACATCAACGGATGAAAGGGGAGAGAGACACTGGATTTCAGTAATCCACATGTGGATGTGTTTCAGATGTGTGGATGAGCGGTGGCTGGGTAGGAATGGGGCATGGGAATTCCCAGCATATTCTGGGGTTGCTGTGAAGAAAAGCTTCATTCATTGTGAAACGATGACAGAAATATTGATGGACTGCAACTCTCATTTGAATTCAAAGTCCTTGGAGCCTGCCTGAATTCCTCTCTCCAACTCTCCTTCTCTTGGACGGGTGGACTCCCAGGTTCATCTAGGCTATTTTAATTAGGCATTTCTAAGGAAAACAGGATATGAATGAAAATACAGTAATGCAATCTTTGGAAGATTTGCATGTCAGTAAAAGCAGCTAGCTTTTAGATCACTAATGGCTCATTTGTCACACTGGGGAAAAAAACAAGGAAATGTTTTTCCTGGCTGAGTACTGGTGCCTACTACTACATTTCAGTATTTCTCCTGCTTCCAGCGTCAGTACCACAACTGCTGAGTCCTCAATGAGTAAAGATGCCTCCAATATCCTTTTTATTTGCTGTTACTGTCTCGACAATTTTGAGTACTGTAGGACTCATTGTGAATCTGTTTATTGTGGTGGTCAATTGCAAGACTTGGGTCAGAAACCACAGAATCTCCTCTTCTGATAGGATCCTATTCAGCTTGGGTATCACCAGACTTCTTACGCTGGGACTGTTTCTACTGTACATGATCTACTTCATCTCTCCACATGCTGGAAAGCCAGTCTCCTTAACCACTTTTTTCATGTTGTGTTGGATGTTTTTGGACTCTAATAGTCTCTGGTTTGTGACCTTGCTCAATGCCTTGTACTGTGTGAAGATTACTAACTTCCACTACTCAGTGTTTCTCCTGCTGAAACGAAATCTCTCTGCCAAGATCCCCAGACTGCTGCCAGCCTGTGTGCTGATTTCTGCCTTCACCACTCTCTTGTATGTTGTGCTCAGACGGACATCATCATTTCCTGAATTTGTAACTGGGATAAATGGCACAGCATTTCACATCAATGAGGGCGTCTTATATTTGATGACCACTTTGGTCTTGAACTCATTTCTCCAGTTCATCATTAATCTGACTTCTGCTTCCTTGTTAATATATTCCTTGAGGCGACACATACAGAAGATGCAGCAAAATGCCACTGGTTTTTGGAATCCCCAGACTGAAGCTCATGTGGGTGCTATGAAGCTGATGATCTTTTTCCTCATCCTCTACATTCCGTATTCAGTTGCCACCATGCTCTTTTATCTCTCTTCTTCTGCAGAGATGAATTTGAGAACCAGATTCATGTGTGCAATTATTTCCACCATTTACACTCCAGGACATTCAGTTCTCATTATTCTCTCACATCCTAAACTGAAAACAAAAGCAACAAAGATTCTTTGTTTCAACAAATAGAATTTCAATGGTAAATAGTGGCTGGATTATAGAGTGGTTTGAGAGCAAGGTTTTCTGTTAGCAGTTTTTCCCAGTGGTCAGGGGAATTAATTTTATATTTGTTGGTCTGACTTCCTAGGCCTTTTGAGTGCCTGTATTAAGTTCATTCTGCAATTAAAAAAAAATATCAGGCACTTTCTCTAAGGAACTTGTTTGAGGCATTACTTACCATGTATTTTGTGTGTATGTTGCATCCTTGGATAATGTAAATCACCACATTGTTCATTGGCTAATGAAGTGTAATGGGAAGTTCCCTCAAACATTATAGTTCACATCATTAGTTAAATTTTTGAGGTTTAGCTGAGGATCCTGGGGAAAGGGCTCATCAGTGGGTAAATGGAAAGAGAAGGATGAAAAAAAAGTATACATTTAAGCAGATGTATAGAGAAAGAGTCCTTAACTTTCTGGGTGATGGTGACTGAGCTGTTCCTTCCTACCAAGAAACTCTAGGACTGAATTTCTAGGTTTGTTCTGCAAAGAACGGAAGGCCCAGAATTGATAGGTGGAGGGAAGTGTTAAATATTAAAGCAGCATAATCCAGGATGGTTCCAAGGATCTTAAAATCAAGGGAGCCAGCCTAAGGTCAAAAGCAAGTGCCAATAGTGAAATTAACACAATTTGAGTGCAACTTCACAAACGATTACCTTATCATCTGCTATGAAATTCAGTGGAAAGTTAAAAGGAGCCATTGGACTGGTAGTGGGAATGCCAGACTTTTGGTGAATTTTATGCTGTGTGTTTATGAGTTTAGGCACTGAGTTGTGTGGGTACAGCACATTCTCTAGGAGAATGCTATTTTTTATTTTTTTGGGTTGAAACAGCAGGACTGTAGCTATGGAGGAATAGGAATTTGAAAATAGAATATTGAGTAAGTTTTAGAATGGGAATGGAAATAATTTATATTTATATAGTTTTTTAATGTTTATAAAATAGTTATGTAACCCTTCATATCTAAAAATAATCTTATTAAAATAACATTCTTTTTGTTAAAAAAGAAAAATGCAAGAAATCTCCAAATTTACAGATTTACCATATTTTCTCCATATTTTGACTGAAATATTCAGTAAAGATTATCCAAACCAATATTTTATACTACAAAAGCTGGAGGTATTCCTCATGTTAGAATTTTAAGATTAGAAAAGGATTGCTGAGAGTGATTAAATGTACACTATGACATAAGAACTCTGAGAAGCGGAAACCCTCATGGTGCCCAGTATCTCTTCTCTTTGCCCACTCTTCCATAGTAACAACATTTTTCAGCTACTCAGAATTTTGGCAACTAATCACATTTTACAGCTTTGTCTTTTAAGTAGCTGCTGCCATGTGATAAAGCTCTGCCAATAGAGTATGAGCAGAAGTAGGGTCCATCATTTCTAGGTGGTACCTGTAGAACAGGCATGCTTTCCCCTCTCTTTGCCCTGTTCTTCCTATGGACTGGAATCCCGGATGTAGTGACTGGCCATTCTGGACCATGAAGATGAAATGATTGCTGGGACAGTGGAGCCATTACCCATCCTAGAGTTGGCTCCATAGTTCCTGACACTGTGAGCTGCCACACCAGCTTGGGACTGTTTACACCTGAACTCCAGGACTGTTTGTGAGAAATAAACATCTCCATTCTTTCAGATAGTGTAGTTTTGGGTTTCTGTTGCCTTACTCAAATAACTTATATGTTATACCATAAGTATGTACAATAATGTATATCTTTATGATGAAGTAGTAGTTATTTACTGTTTTATAGTCAAAGAACATTTTTATATAATCTGAGAAATACTTATATTACTAAGTTAAATCAAAATAAAAACATGTACTGTGGTACCAATTTTTGTAAAAAATATGTATATACAAAGAAAATTGCCAACAGCAATTATTTTTAGGTTGAAAATTTTGAGTTTTTTACATTTTCCATATTCTGTGATGACACATATTTCTTTTATAATCAGAAAAACACTTTAAAATGTATATAATATATATTGAAGAGAGAGAGAGGGAGACAGAGATATGTGTGTGTGTGTGTGTGTGTGTGTGTTGAGAGGGGAGTATGAAAATCTTACAAGTGCCTAGTTTCCTTGACTAAAATAAATATCATGGTGTTATGTAAATACTCGGCTTTTAGGCCCTGAAATTTATGTGATATATGCTTTTAAACCAAAAAATAGCAACACTTAAAGAAGAAATCATTTTAAAATTTATTTTGAATGCTGCTTCTTGGGAAGGAATGGGGACAATAGAAAAATGATGGGAAAATAGATACAATTCATGTAAGAAGTATATGAAATTCTTGGCTATTTCAAGGACTTGAGAAGTTTCTTGCATTGCCTAAATTTCACTTGAACACTTTTTACTGTGGGTTTTCCTGATCATTGTTACCAGCATTCTGTGGATGAGCCATTTTCAGTTGTTTCAACTGTTTAAAAAAAAATGCAAGCAAAAGGAAAAGGGATTCAGAAGAAGGATGTATTTGTTTTTTAAAGCATGAATCGAAGGTAACTTGTAAGTTTGCCTCAAATGCCAGAGTCTTCTGGTGAAACTGAAGCTTACTAAAGGCATTTAAAATAAGGGTCCCAATAATATTCTTTTTTAAGTTAAAGCTGGAGATGGAGCCTCTGTTCTAGCCCACTGTTTCTCAGAGGGCTGGACAGGTGAGAAGCAGTCAGGGTCTGTTGGGAATTTTTTTCCAGTTTTGTATGCCCTGCCTTCCATTCCTCCTGGGTGTAGAGGTAGATGGGGGAAGTGGAAATTTGACAGAACTTTCCAGGGATTTAGACAACTAGCCAATGGCCAGTTTTATTTTCTGAGAAAAAAAAATGTGAAAAGAAACTCTGTGGGTATGTGAGAATTTGCCTGGCATGGAAATTAACAAGGAAGTGATAGGAGTTAATGGGGGTGCAGGAGGGTAAAGGGTAAAGGGTGAGGACAACAGCAGGGGGAGGGCACAGAGAGCACCATGTCCTCCCCAGCTGGGTGGGGTGGGTGGGAGGTTAGTCTTCTGGGGGAGGTGTCAGTAGTAACATCATGTTGGGACATCTGGATTGTTCTCTGATTATTATTATAGGATCTGGAAATTCTCATGACTAACTCTGTCTGTAGGAAGGAACTGGAGGCTCTGGGTTAAGTGACTCAGTATGTGTATGGCTTGCTTGCAAATGAGATGTCTAAACACAGGTACATACTTGATTTGATTACATTACTGACATTTTAAATACAGGAACATTATTAGTCTCAGTATTGCTGCTTTCATAGTTGGAACAATGACTATTTAATGATGATCTGAATTCAGGTATCTCAAGAGAAGAAAGAGTTAAGTATATTGACATTACTCAGAAAAGCTCTCTAACTCTTACCTACCCCTCTTTATCTTTTGACTTTTGTGCGTGTTTTTAAAAGCCTGAGGTAATGAGTCCCCCATTTTTATTCTTGCTTTCCAGAGATTCTAGAACCTTACAGGGCTGAGCACTTCCTTTAGAAGTAGCAACTCAATTTATGCATTTGCATACTGTGAATAATAGCAGACTTTAGATGCTGTCCTGATTTTTTAAGGAGTGATTGTGGGGAGAAATCACCAAGGAAGGAAAGAAAGATAGCATTAATTAGGTAATACTCTTTTGAGGCACCAGGCTAAGTAATTTTGTATGTTCTCTTATCATCGCAATAGCCCCGTGAGGCAAACATTATTATTATAATTTTTGTAAAGAGGAACCTGAAGGTCTGAGAGGTTAACTGACTTGTTTAAAGACACAGCTACTAATTCGTTGAGTTGGGAGGTATACCCAAATCTGCCTGTCTTTGAAGCACATTGCCTTTCAACAAATGGCCACACATGTCTCATTTGTAAATTCCCCTTGCAGGAGCTACTCGTGAGGTTTGGGTCCCATTGAGGGCAGGTGTTCTTATGAACCTGTGAGCACTTAGCTTTGGCTGAGCAGATACCCAGAAAGCCCTGTCTGCCATCTCTGTTGCTTGGCTCTTTTCTTAGCATGGTCTTGTAGTTTTATAGGTATTTGTTAAAAAACTTAGTTTGTTAAAAAACTAAGAAATCAGCACTGATATATGTTAACTATTAAGTAAACTACAGACTTCATCAAACTTGACCAGTATTCCCACTCATGTACGTTTTCCGTTGCAGGATCCAATCCAGGATATCACACTGCATATAGTTGTCAGGCATCCATAGTCTCCTCTTGTCTGTGATGTTTCTCAATCATTCCTTGTTTTTCATGACCGTGAAGGTTTTGAAGATTAGTCTTAAGGCATTTTGTAAAATGTCCCTCAGTCTGGGTTTGTCTGATGTTTTTCTCATAGTTAGACAGGGGCAATGGGTCTTTTGGGGAGAGTACAGCAGAGGTGAGGTGCCCTTCTCATCACGTTGCATCAGGGTGTTCACGATGTCACCATGACTGGTCATGGTTAAGGTGGTGTCTGCCAGGTTTCTCCACTGTCCAGTTCCCCTGTTTCCCTTTCCAGACTCTCTTGTTTAAAAGTAAGTCTCCAGGGCCAGCTCACTCTCAAGGGAAGGGGACTTAAGTCCTGCCTCCTAGAAGGTTTCCCAAATTTTGCCTACTGATTTTTATACTCCTGGGCAAAAACATTCCTGCGCTCTCATCTGCCCAGTCCTCTCACTGCTGTGCTTTTCCTCCATCCACTTTCTCTGCTGTAGCAGTGCTGCTGGTTTTTATCATAATCTTCCTCAAAGTCTGCCATCCGTGCTGCATGCAGGCCATGAACACCCTTCTCCTTCTCCCTCCAAGTACCTCCATCTCAGACCCACGAGGTGGTGCTGACCTCATCAACAAGAACCCCATCTCTTCATAAGGTAGTGGGGAGGGTAGCTGGAAAGACTATGAATATTCACATGTTTATAATTCCTGGTTTCATTACACATGCTTATTAAGTGTGCTAAATCTGCTCAGTTTCTGCGTTTCTGCCTTATACAGATCATTGAGAGAAGTAGTTTCCACAGG